GAGTTCGAGGCTGCAGTGAGCTATGACTGTGCCACTGCACTCATGCCTGGGTGACAGAGCCAGACCCTGTCTCAAAAATACAAAAAAAAAAAAAAAACACCGGAATTCTTGCCAAGCTCTCCTTCCTCCTCCCTGCCAATGCCCTCCCAGGTCCTGCTGTGGGAGCCTGTTCCTAGGCCTGTGCCTTCCTTAGCCATTCCCTTCTCGCTCTCTGGCAAGCCCAAAGCCCCGGGCCATCTCATCCCCTTCAGCCTCTCTGCAGAGGACCCCGACTCTGTATCTGCCTTGCTGTCTCCCCAGAGCTACACAACTACATGTCCGACCATCACCCCAACTTCTCCCTCTGAGTGCTCCGCAGCTCCCTGAACACTGACGGACCCCAATACAGAACTCACCACTTCCACGATCTTACCACTCACACCTGGTCCTCCCAGTGTGCCCCAGCCCCAGGACAGGCATCACCACCCAGACACTTGTGCAAGCTGGAAACCATCATCTTCAGCTCCTCAGCATACCCTGCTAGCTGTCACTGAGGACAGAAGCCTGGCCAGTTGAACATCTACCTTCACAGCCACCACCCTAGTCCAACAGGACATCGCCTCTTCCACACGTGCATTACCTCCTATAACCCGTACAGTGAATGGCTTCTCAAACTTAAACATGCATTAATAATTGATAATGTGTGGCCGGGCGCGGTGGCTCAAGCCTGTAATCCCAGCACTTTGGGAGGCTGAGATGGGCGGATCACGAGGTCAGGAGATCGAGATCATTCTGGCTAACCCGGTGAAACCCCCTCTCTACTAAAAAATACAAAAAACTAGCCGGGGAGGTGGCGGGCGCCTGTAGTCCCTGCTACTCGGGAGGCTGAGGCAGGAGAATGGCGTAAACCCGGGAGGCGGAGCTTGCAGCGAGCTGAGATCCGGCCACTGCACCCCAGCCGGGGCTACAGAGCGACACACCGCCTCAAAAAAAAAAAAAAAAAAAAAAAAAAAAAGGCCGGGCGTGGTGGCGCAAGCCTGTAATCCCAGCACTTTGGGAGGCCGAGACGGGCGGATCACGAGGTCAGGAGATCGAGACCATCCTGGCTAACACGGTGAAACCCCGTCTCTACTAAAAAATACAAAAAACTAGCCGGGCGAGGTGGCGGGCGCCTGTAGTCCCTGCTACTTGGGAGGCTGAGGCAGGAGAATGGCGTAAAGCCGGGAGGCGGAGCTTGCAGTGAGCTGAGATCCGGCCACTGCGCTCCAGCCTGGGCGACAGAGCGAGACTCCGTCTCAAAACAAAATAAAATTAAAAATAAAATAATAATAATAATAATTGATAATGTGGGCTAGGCACTGTGGCTCACGCCTGTCATCCCAGCACTTTGGGAGGCCAAGGCAGGTGGACCACCTGAGGTCAAGAGTTCGAGACCAGCCTGGCCAAGATGGTGAAACCCCGTCTCTACTAAAAATACAAAAATTAGCCTGGCATGGTGGCAGGCGCCTGTAATCCCAGTTACTCAGAAGGCTGAGGCAAAAGAATTGCTTGAATCTGGGAGGCGGAGGTTGCAGTGAGCCAAGATCATGCCACTGCACTCCAGCCTGGGCGACAGAGTAAGATTCCATCTCAAAAACAAATAAAATAAAATAAATGTGGCTTTATTTATTTACTTATTTATTTGAGACAGGGTCTCAACCTGTCACCCAAACCAGAGTGCAGTGGTACAGTCACAGCTCACTGCAGCCTCAAACTCCCGGGCTCAAGTGATCCTCCCACTTCAGCCCCTGCCAAGTAGCTGAAATCACAGGCATGTGCCACCAGGCCTGGCTGATTTTCAAATTTTTCGTAGAGACTCTATAGACTTTTTTTTGTCTTGCTATATTGTCCAGGCTGGTCTCCAACATCTGGCCTCAAGCCATCCTCCCACCTCTGCCTCCCAAAGTGCTGGGATTACAGATGTGAGCCACCAATGCCCAGCCAGTATGATGTTTAAACATCAGCATCTTAAAAGTGATTCCAATATGGAGCCAGGTCAAGAACCACTGTAATAGAGGCTTCGAGCTGCAAATTACATCTAAGGGCTCAAATTAGTTTCAATCAGTGCTTCTTAAACTGTACTGTGCATCAGGATTAACTAGAGGGCTTGTTAAGGATCAGCTAGAGGGCCAGGCACAGTGGCTCATACCTGTAATCCCAACACTTTGGGAGGCCAAGGCAGGCGGATCACCTGAGGTCAAGGGTTCAAGACCAGCCTGGCCAACTTGACGAAAGCCTGTCTCTACTAAAAATACAAAAATTAGCCAGGTGTGGTGGTGCATGCCTGTACTCCCAGCTACTCAGGAGGCTGAGGCAGGATAATCGCTTAAACCCAGGAGGTGGAGATTGGAGTGAGCCAAGATTGCACCAATGCACTCCAGCCTGGGTGACAGAGCAAGACTGTCTTAAAAAACAAAAAACAAAAAAAATACAGCTCGCTGGGCCCCACCTCCAGAGTTTCTGACCGAGTAACAGGTCTGGGATGGGGTCTGAGAATCTGTATTCCTGGCTGGGTATGGTGGCCTATAGTCCCAGCTACTCAGGAGGCTGAGGTAGGAAGATCACTTGAGCCCAGGAGTTGAAGGCTGCAGTGAGCTATGATAGCACCACTGCATTTCAGCCTGGGCCACAGGGTGAGACCCTGTCTCAAAAACAGAATTTGCATTCCTAGTGCTGCTGGTCCAGGGACCACACTTTGAGGACCACTACTTAAGCAAGGCAGAAAGTTACCATTTCACCTAATGTAGACAGGCCAGAGGTAGGGAGGACTCCAGACAATGCAAGTTGGAGCTCATGTGCTTCAGTTGTTTCTTTGGCTACTGTTTGCCTCTGACAAGGCCAGGCTTCAGAGCAGGTGTTCGAAATGCTTTGTGATCCAACCCTGCTTTCCCTCCAGTCTCATTTCTCTCCATAGCTTCCCTCCCCTCACATCCCTGAAAGTCTTCAATCTCCAGTGGTACCTGGGACTCATCTTGCTTTGCCCTGGAAAAGTGTGATCAACCCACGAGGAAGGCAAGCCTAGGGATTTCTGTCTCCCTTTTTTTTCTTTTCGCTTTTTTTTTTTCTTTTTTTGGAGACAGAGCCTGGCTCTGTCACCCAGGCTGGAGTGCAGTGATGCGATGTCAGCTCACTGCAACCTCCGCCTCCCGGGTTCAAGTGATTCTCCTGCCTCAGCCTCCCGAGTAGCTGGGATTACAGATGTGTACCACCACGCCTGGCTAACTTTTTGTATTTTTAGTAGAGATGGTGTTTCACTATGTTGGCCAGGCTGGTCTCGAACTCCTGGCCTCAAGTGACCTGCCTGCCTTGGCCTCTCAATTTTCTTTTTTTTTTTTTTTTGAGACAGGTCTGTTGCCTGGCTGGAGTGCAGTGTCATGATCATAGCTTACCACATCCTTGAACTCCTGGGCTCAAGTGAACCTCCTCCTCCTGCCTTAGCCTCCTGAGTAGCTGGGACTAGAAGTCCACACCACCACGCTTGGCTAATTTTTTTTTTTAATAGAGATGGAGTCTTGCTACGTTGCCCAGGCTGGTCTCAAACTCCTGCCTCAGCCTCCCATAGGTTGCGATTATAGGCATGAGCCACTGTGCCTGGCCTCCTGCCTCCTTATTAACTTTTTTTTTTTTTTTTTGACGGAGTCTTGCTCTGTCGCCCAGGCTGGAGTGCAGTGGTGTAATCACTGCTCACTGCAGCCTCAAACTCCTAGGCTCAAGCAATCCTCCCGTCTCAGCCTCCTGAGTAGCTGGGACTACAGGCATGCACCACCACGCCTGACAATTTTTTTTATTTTGTAGAGATGGGGTCTCACTATGTTGGCCAGGCTGGTCTCTAATTCCTGGGCTCAAGTGGTTCTCCTTCCTCAGCCTCCCAAAGTGCTGGGATTATAGGAATGAGCCACAGTGCCCTGCCCGAGTACGGATCCTGAGTGTAGTAGACCTGGGTTTGACTCTGGGTTATTTCCCTTGCTTCCTTGTTGACCTTGGGCATATTATTTGATGTAAGCCTAGTGTTTCTCTCCACCTGCTTAAAAATTAAAGTTATAACATGGCCTGTCTTAAAAGCCAACTGAATTCAAGGATGTGAAAGAATTTGGTAGCCTCAACCGAGCTGTACAAAAAGAGGCTACTCTTTTTTCCTCTGGCCCCACATCCACAGATGGCAGCCAGACAGGACATGTATTAGTCTCCAGGCTCACTCTCCACCCGTGTGACCTTGGGAAAGTCACTTAACTTCCTACAGCATCAGTCTCCTCATCTGTGGGAAGGGAATGTAAGCAAGGGAAATGAAATGCAAAGCTCCTGGATCAGACGGGTGCAGTGGCTCACTCCTGTAATCCCAGCAATTTGGGAGGATGAGGGCAGGAGGGTTGCTTGAGGCCAGGAGTTCTAGAGACCAGCCTGGGCAACATAGCAAGACCCTGTCTCTACAGAAAATTCAAAAATTAGCTGGGCTTGGTGGTCAGCACCTATGGTCCCAGCTACTTGGGAGGCTGTGGTGGGAGGATTATTTGAGCCCAGGAATTTCAGGCTGCAATCAGTTGTGATCGCGCCACTGCCCTCCAGCCTGGGTGACACAGTGAGATTCTCTTTATTTAAAAAATGCTCCTGGATCAATACATGTCACATGCAAAATGCTTGGTAAATGAAATTCTTCTTAAAAGTGCATCTTTGGCCAGGCTTGGTGGCTCATGCCTGTAATCCCAGCACTTTGGGAGGTTGAGGTGGGAGGATCACTTGAGCTCAGGAGTTCGAGACCAGCCTGAGCAACATGGTGAAACCTTGTCCCTACAAAACACATACACAAAAATTAGCTGGGTGTGATGGTGCATGCCTGTAGTCCTAGCTACTTGGGAGGCTGAGGCAGGAAGATCGATTGAGGCAGAAGGATAATTTGAGCCTGGCAGGCGGAAGTTGCAGCGAGCCAAGATCATACCATTGCATTCCAGCCTGGGCAACACGGCGAGACTCTGTCTCAAAATAAATATATAGATAAAATTTTTTTAAAGTGTAACTTTCTCTCGAGATGGTGGAGAAAGTGGTTTATGGCTGGGCCCACAGTCCTAAGTAGCAAGATAGGGAGGGCAAGCCTCAGGATGCTCTAGACACCCCCTCACACCCCTCCCTACCCCACTGCTCACAGCTGAGTCAATGTCAGTTTCCCGCAAAGGACAAAAGGGAAGGAAATGAGGCCGCTCCATTTGCTCTCTGACTGGATCCATTTCCTCCCCCAAGATTGTGGGTGTGTCTGTCTGTCATCCAGCCTCTGCAGCGACCGCTCTTCTCAGAGGGTCCTTCTTACTGCTGAAGGGCCTGGACTGTCAGGAAGGCAGGCTCCCAGGTGGGGATGGAAATGTTTGCAGCAGGAATCTCCAACTCCGGTACTTTTGACTCACTCTGGGCTTCAGGACTAGGACACCTACGGAGCACATCTGTTCAACCCAAATTCTACCAATAAGTCTTTCAGATTGTCTCCTTGCTGGTGGAATTTGAATAAGTTCTGTAGATAGCATCAATGTCAAGTTCCTGGTTTTGATATTGCACTGCAGTTATGCAAGATGTTTCTATTGGAGGAAACAGAGAGGAAGAGTCCATGAGACCTCCCTGTTCACTTTTTCAAACCCTGTGAATCTTCATTTTTTTTTTTTTTTTTTTTTTTTTTTTTTTAGACAGAGTCTCGCTCTGTCGCCCAGGCTGGAGTGCAGTGGCCAGATCTCAGCTCACTGCAAGCTCCGCCTCACGGGTTTACGCCATTCTCCTGCCTCAGCCTCCCGAGTAGCTGGGACTACAGGCGCCCGCCACCTCGCCCGGCTAGTTTTTTGTATTTTTTAGTAGAGACGGGGTTTCACCGTGTTAGCCAGGATGGTCTCGATCTCCTGACCTCGTGATCCACCCGTCTCGGCCTCCCAAAGTGCTGGGATTACAGGCTTGAGCCACCGCACCCGGCCTTCATTTTTTTTTTTGGGGGGGGGACAGGGTCTCACTCTGTTGCTCAGGCTGCAGTGCAGTGGCACAATCACAGCCCACTATAGCCTCGACCTCCCAGACTCAGGTGATTCTGCCACCTCAGCCTGCCAGTTAGCTGGGACTATGGGCACGTGTCACCATGTCTGGCTAATTTTTTTTTTTTTTTTTTTAGACGGAATCTCACTCTGTCACCCCAGCTGGAGTGCAGTGGAGCAATCTTGGCTCACTGCAACCTCCACCTCCCAGGTTCAAGTGATTCTCCTGCCTCAGCCTCCCAAGTAGCTAGGATTACAGGTGCGCACCACTATGCCTGGCTAATTTTTGTATTTTTAGTAGAGACGGGGTTTCACCATGTTAGCCAGGCTGGTCTCGAACTCCTGACCTCAGGTGATCTGCCCGCCTCGGCCTCCCAAAGTGCTGGGATTACAGGTGTGAGCCACCGCGCCCGGCCTTAAAAGAAGTTTCTATGAAAAAAATCTCCTGGTCTGGGCCAAGCGCGGTGGCTCACATCTGTAATCCCAACACTTTTGAGAGGCCAAGGCGGGCGGATCACAAGGTCAGGAGTTGGAGACCAGCCTGGCCAACATAGTGAAACCCCGTCTCTACTAAAAAATACAAAAAATTAGCCAGGCATGGTGGCGGGCGCCCATAATCCCAGCTACTCAGGAGGCTGAGGCAAGAGAATCGCTTGAACCCGGGAGGCAGAGGTTGCAGTGAGCAGAGATCGCGCCACTGCACCCAGCCTGGGCGGCAGTGTGACAAGATGTCTCAAAAAAATAAGAAATAACAATAATCTCCGGGCTCGGCATGGTGGCTCATGCCTGTAATCGCAGCACTTTGGGAGGCCAAAGCAGGTGGATCACCTGAGGTCAGGAGTTCGAGATCAGCCTGGCCAACATGGCAAAACCCCCGTCTCTATAAAAAACACAAAAATTAGCAGGGCGTGGTGGCGCACTCTTGTAGTCCCAGTTACTCTGGAGGCTGAGGCAGAAGAATCTCTTGCACTCGGGAGGCGGAGGTTGCAGTGAGCCGAGACGCGTCACTGCACTCCAGCCTGAGCAACAGAATGAGACTCCGTCTCAAAAGTAAATAAATAAATAAAATGTTTTCTATTTAAAATTCTCCCTTTTAACTTTCCACTTGCCAGGCCATCTCCAAATCCAGGTCCCCGTCACCTCCCTCTCGGATCCTTGAAGTCACTGCCGGTTTTCTGTATTTGGTCTTTTCACACAAAGGTCCATCCAGGGAATCATCAGACACAGCTTTTGCCCCACCTCTCCCTGTAATGAGCAGCTTGTTGGGTGGAGTCAGCGCTCAACGTCCCCCAGACCTTTCCACCCCTCTCGCATTTCCCACATCCCAGCTTCTCAGGTCTTTGCAGAGGCTGTTCCACACCACACACCTGGCCTACTCTTCCCCCTTCTCCACCAGCAGTAAAAGTAAAAGCCGGTCTCATCTTTCGCTGATGCTGAGTTTCCTGTTCGTTAAATGGTAATAATAATCCCCGCCCGCTTCCTTGAGAGGATCCAGTGTGGTGATGGCTGGAATAACGCCTTTAATAAACAATTATAAGTGAGTTCCTCAGGAGGAGGCGTGAACAGGGGTTGCAAATCCCGCCTTCCTCCGCCCTCCGCGGTTCTGCAACCTCAACCGCCAGGCGACCCGCCCCTCGAAACGTACCAAGTAATCGGGCCTCGCCCCTCGAGATGTTCTACCTCCGGGCCCCGCCCCTCGAGACGCTCTACCTCCGGGTTCTGCCCCTTAAGATGCGCTAACAACCCAGCCCCGCCCCTCGAGACGCTCTAACTCCAGGCTCCGCCTCTCGAGGCGCTCTAATAACTAGGATCCGCGCTTGGAGATACTCTAACTCCAGGCCCCGCCCCTGGAGACGTTCTCTAACTCCAGGCCCCGCCCCTCGAGACGCTCTAACCCAGGCTCTGTCCCTCCAGGCGCTCTAACAACCAGGTCCCGCCCCTCGAGACGCTCTACCTCTGGGTTCGGCCCCTCGAGACGCTCTAACCCAGGCTCCGCCCCTCGAGGCGCTTTAATAACTAGGTTCCTCTCCTCGAGACGCTCTAACGGCCAGGCTCCGCCTTCAAGGAGCTCTAACAATCAGGCCCCGCCCCTCGAGACGCTCTAACAGTCAGGCCCCGCCCCTCTAGCGCCCCAACAGCTGGGCCCCACCCGTTGAGACGCTCTAACGGCCAGGCCCCGCCCTGAAGGTATTATAACAACCAGGCTCCGCCCCCAGGCGCTCTAACGGCCAGGCCCCGCCGCTCGAGGCGCCCCAACGGCCAGGCCCCGCCCCCGCGTGCGTGCGCGACTCCGCAGAGCCGTGCGGGCGCCCGCGTACTCACTGGCTGAGGTGGCAGTGGCCCCGCCAACATGGAGCTCTCGCAGATGCCGGAGTTCATGGGGCTGTCGGTGTTGCTTGGGCTGCTGGCCCTGATGGCGACCGCGGCGGTAGCGCGGGGGTGGCTGCGCGCGGAGGAGAGGAGCGGCAGGCCCGCCTGTAAGTGGGGCCGGGTCGGGTGGGGGCGACCCGCGTGACCTCCTCGTGGTCCGAGCTGTGGTTTGGGCCCGCGGCTGTTGGGGCTCGGCGACTCCATGGGCCTCAGTTTCTCCTCTGGTGACGTGAGCTTCGCTTCCAGAGACGAGGGCCCGCCTCGCCGGGCTAGGCGCACCCCCTGGGGCAGGACTGGCTCCAACCTGGGCCCCGCGCTGCGACTTTCACCGTGGCCCAGGCTAGGCCGTCCCCGGGGTGGCCAGGAGAGCACCGTAAACTCTTCAGCGATCTCAGAAAAAGCACCAATTCTGTGATGTGTGGCAGCATTTGCTGGGCATCTATGACCCTGTGATAGGCTTTGGGGTCTTTTTCTGTAAGGAGTCCAGTAAAGGAGAAGTACATCTGCATGATGAACACCTAAACATGTAAGTGAAAAACAGTGAAATAAGTTTCATTGAGGCCAGGCGCGGTGGCTCACGCCTGTATTCCCAGGACTTTGGGAGGCCGAGGCAGGGAGATCGCTTGAGCCCAGGAATTTGAGACCAGCCTGAGCAACATAGCAAGACTCCATCTCTACGAAAAATTAGCTGGGTGTGGTTGTGCACGCCCCTGTAGTCCCAGCTCCATGGGAGGCCGAGGCAGGAGGGTGGCGTGAGTCCAGGAGTTCAAGGCTGCAGTGAGCTGTGATCAATCGCGCCACTGCACTCCAGCCCAGGTGACAGCAAGAGCCTGTCTCTGAAAAGTTTCATAGAAGAGGTTAGTACTGGAAACGGGAAACACCAGAGAGGGAATGGGCAGCCCTGCTCTTTTTATGTTTGAGACAGAGTTTCGCTCTTCTTGCCCAGGCTGGAGTACAGTGGCAGGATCTTGGCTCACTGCAACCTCCGCCTCCCGGGTTCCAGCAATTCTTCTGCCTCTGCCTCCCGAGTAGCTGGGACTACAGGCACACACACCACCAGGCCTGAGGAATTTTTGTATATTTAGTAGACACGGGATTTTGCCACGTTGGTCAGACTGGTCTCGAACTCCTGACCTCAGGTGATCCACTCGTCCTGGCCTCCAAAAGTGCTGGGATTACAGGTGTGAACCACTGTGCCCAGCCAGCCCTGCTCCTTTTTTTTTTTTTTTTTTTTTTTTTTTTGGTGACGGAGTCTTGCTCTGCCTCCCAGGCTGGAGTGCAGTGGCGCGATCTTGGCTCACTGCGAGTTCCGCCTCCCAGGCTCATGCCATTCTCCTGCCTCAGCCTCCTGAGTAGCTGGGACTACAAGCGTCCACCACCACCACGCCCGGCTAATTTTTTGTATTTTTTAGTAGAGACGGGGTTTCACCGTGTTAGCCAGGATGGTCTCGATCTCCTGACCTCATGATCTGCCTGCTTTGGCCTCCCAAAGTGCTGGGATTATAGGCATGAACCACTGTTCCCCGCCCAGCCCTGCTCTTTTACTGGGGAGGTGGTTGTTAGAGAAATCATTACTGAGAATAGGGGCACATGAGGTAGTGTGGGGTCTCAAAGGATGGTTCTAGAATAAGAGTTTGCCGCAAAGTCAAGGAAAAAAGACATTCCTGCCAATGGCAATACCCGAGCAGGCAAGGAGTCCCCAAACAGCATTTGGTATGACTTAAGTGTGAGGAGGGGGGCTTGTTAGACAAGCCTGGAGAGAAGGAAGCAGAGGACAGATTGTGGCTCTGTTTGTATGCAGGGCTCAGGAGCTTTTTTCCTGTTGGAATTGGGGAGCATCTGCAGTCATTTAACACATGCTAGCTTTGTGACTCAATTAAGTATCTTATGCAAAAGTGACTGGCTCCACTCTCCAGCACAGGGCTCAACAGATGTTGACTTCTCCACCCCGAGTTCTTTTGGGTGCTGGAGTGCAGTGACGCAATCTGGGCTCACTGCAACCTCCACCTCCTGGATTCAAGCAATTCTCCTGCCTCAGCCTCCTAAGTAGCTGAGATTGCAGGCGCCTGCCACTGTGCCCGGCTAATTTTTGTATGTTTAGTAGAGACGGGGTTTCACCATGTTGGCCAGGCTGGTCTGGAACTCCTGGGCATCAAGATGATCCAGCTGCCTCAGCCTCCCAAAGTGCTGGGATTACAGGCGTGAGCCACCACGCCCAGCCTCCATAAAGCCTTTAATGCTTGTGTTTGGTACTTTTGCTTGTCATTTTGTAGATATCTCATCCAATTCAATCTCCCTTATTTTTGTTTATTTATATCTTTTTTGAGACAGAATCTCATTCCGTTCCCCAGGCCGGAATACAGTGGCGTGATCACTGCATTCGAACTCCTGGGCTCAAGCAATTTTCCCTCCTCAGCCTCCGAATAGCTGGGACCACAGGCGCATGCCACCATTCCCAGCTAATTAAAGTTTTCTGTAGAGACGGGGTGTCACTCTGTTAACCAGGCTGGTCTCCAACTCCTGAGCTCAAGCAATCCTCCTACCTCAGCCTCCCAAAGTGCTGGGGTCACAGGCATGAGCCACTGTGCCCAGCTCTCAACCTCTCTTTAAGAAAACCAAGGTTGGGCGAGACGCAGTGGCTCACACCTATAATCCCAGCACCTTGGGAGGCCAAGGCAGGCAGATCACTTGAGGTGAGGAGTTGGAGACCAGCCTTGCCATCATGGTGAAACACCATCTCTACTAAAAAAAACCAAAAAATTAGATGGGTATGGTGGTGCACGCCCATAATTCCAGCTACTTGGGAGGCTGAGGCAGGAGAATTGCTTGAACCCGGGAGGCAGAGGCTACAGTGAGCAGAGATCATGCCACTGCACTCCAGCCTGGGTGACAGAGCAAGACTCTGTCTCCAAAAAAAAGAAAGAAAGAAAAGAAGAAAAAAAAAAACAAAAAACCAAGGTCCAGAGCAATTCACTAACTTGCCCAAAGCAGGGCCACTAGAGACAGTTGTGCACATTACTCCCTACGTAGGGATGTCTGGCCAAGGATCCACGCTCCACTGGCCGTGCTGTGTACCCACCCAGCAGCATTACCCTACCCAAAGAGTATGCCTTTTCCACTTTACATGAAGGTGCTCTATGGACTTACTGTAAACAGTCTCCTCAAAGTCAGTCAGTATTAGAGACGAAATCCAAACCCAGGTCTGATTGCAAAGCATCTGTTTTGCTTTTGTTTTCTGTTTGACAGGGTCTCACTCTGTCACTCAGGATGGAGTGCAGTAGTAGTGTTGTGATCATAGCTCACTGCAGCCTCGAACTCCTGGGCTCAAGTGATCCTCCTGCCTCAGCCTCCCAAAGCGTTGGGATTACAGGCATGAGCCACCATACCCAGCCAGCCAAGCCTCTATTTTTGCCCATATCACACTCACTCTCCTCCTGAAGACAAGGGCCATGTCCAGTTAATCTCCTGCTGTTCCATTCAGTGCCTGGCTAATCATAGATGGGCAGCGAATGCTTATCAGTGAGTAACTGGAGAACAACATGGCCCTTCCTTATAGGCCGAAAAGCAAATGGATTTCCACCTGACAAATCCTCAGGATCCAAGAAGCAGAAACAGTATCAGCGGATTCGGAAGGAGAAGCCTCAACAACACAACTTCACCCACCGCCTCCTGGCTGCAGCTCTGAAGGTACGCGGGGTACCCAGCGCAGTGCGCACTCTGAGACTCAGACCCACAGGCTTTTCCTCTGTAGTATTCCGTGCATGTTATAGACCCTCCTGCCTCTGATCAGAATCAGCGGGGATGCTTAATTCTGTCCCCTCTCATCGCAGCCCAACCTCAGCTTGCTGTTAATCCAGGCAACGGGGCCCCATCTCCCTGGTTCCAGGTTTGGCTTCCCCATCTCCCCAAGGAGCTCCTATTCACACTTCCTGCCACCCTTTCCCTAGAGCCACAGCGGGAACATATCTTGCATGGACTTTAGCAGCAATGGCAAATACCTGGCCACCTGTGCAGATGATCGCACCATCCGCATTTGGAGCACCAAGGACTTTCTGCAGCGAGAGCACCGCAGCATGAGAGCCAACGTGGAGCTGGACCATGCCACCCTGGTGCGCTTCAGCCCTGACTGCAGGTGGGACAGGATGGAGCCTCAGGTTTGCCTGAAGAGGCCCAGTCCCAGGCATTGGCCTTCCCATATCTGCTTTGAGGTGGCGAGGAGGGACCCGGACCCAGGGCCTCCCTTGGGGTGCCAGAAAGAGCATCCACGTAGTTTGCACGCTGCCTGGGGCTCCCTGGAGGTCTGTGCTGCTATACAGCAAGGAAACGGGGGGAGGTCTTTTCCTACCTGGAAATAACTTGGCCTGGCTTCCAGATGAGCCTTGGTTTCTAAACCCTAGAGAGAAACTAAAGAAGTCAAAGCAATGGGAATCTTACCTTTTGAGGAGTTTTATAAGATTTGGAACCAGGGGCTTATGTTGTAAGGCTAGACTGTGGGGCATGAGGGGAGATCTTGACTTCCCCCAGAATCCAGCACAGGACCAGGAACACAGAGCCTCTTTGTCTAGTGAGAGAGTGACTTGTCTGCTACCTGTCTCTAGAGCCTTCATCGTCTGGCTGGCCAACGGGGACACCCTCCGTGTCTTCAAGATGACCAAGCGGGAGGATGGGGGCTATACCTTCACAGCCACCCCAGAGGACTTCCCTAAAAAGCACAAGGCGCCTGTCATCGACGTTGGCATTGCTAACACAGGTAAGATGCATTCAGAGGGTGGCGCCTGCCCAAAGCGTGAAGGAAAGATCCAGCTCTGTTTCCTCAATGAGTTAATGCTGCCTGAAAGTTCTGCTCAACCTGAGAGGGACAGGGGGCCCTGGCTCTAAACAGCCTGGCTGTGTGCTCCCCTGGAGTCCCTGGGCCACACCAGGTCCCTAGGGAAGGTGGGGAAGGGCCACAGTCTTTAGCAGAGTCCTTGTCTGTAGTGACCCTTGGCCTGGGAGGAGACATGTATACTTCGGGCAGCAGAGGCCTTGTAAGTGTCTTTGGAAAATGACAGTTGGTCAGGTCACTGCCCGTGGCCCACATCACTCCCTTCCCGCTCAGGGAAGTTTATCATGACTGCCTCCAGTGACACCACTGTCCTCATCTGGAGCCTGAAGGGTCAAGTGCTGTCTACCATCAACACCAACCAGATGAACAACACACATGCTGCTGTATCTCCCTGTGGCAGGTGGGCAAGGAGGGGCATTGGCATCTGGGACCACAAGAGGCTGGGGCTGGGGAGCAGGCCCAGAACAGAGAGCCAGCTTCATCGCTTGGGAAGAGCATACGGGGTGGGGTCAGGAGCCCGAGCTTCAAGTCTCAGTTCTCCCCGCTTGGGGTAGCGGGATTTCATGCAGGTCACCCCATGTCCTTAGTCACTATTTCTTCATCTTTAGTGTTTTTGTTTTTGAGAAAATTAGTCTCACTCTGTCAGCCAGGCTGGAGCACAGTGGTGCGATCATAGCTCACTGCAGCCTCAAACTCCTGGATTGTAGTGATCCTCCCACTTCAGCCTCTTGAGTAGCTGGAACTTTAGGTACATGCCACTGTACTCAGCTAATTTTTGGTTTTTGTTTGTTTGTTTGTTTGTTGAGACAGGGTTTCACCCTCACCCAGGCAGGAGTGCAGTGGTGCGATCACAGCTCACTGTAGGCTTGACCTCCCAGACTCAGGCCATCCTTCCACCTTATCCTCCCGAGTAGCTGGGACTACAGGCGCATACTACCACACCTGGCTAATTTTTGTATTTTTTGTTGAGGTGGGGTCTCACTATGTTGCCCAGGCTGGTCCTGAACTCCTGGCCTCAAGTGATCCTCTTGCCTCGACCTCCCAAAGTGCTAGAATTACAGGCATGAGCCACTGCACCAAGCCACTTTGTGGGGGATGTTACATGTCTTAAAACAAGGCTAGAGGATAAACCGAGGTCACATACATAAAAGAACCTTTTTTTTTTTTTTTTTTTTGAGACGGAGTCTCACTCTGTCGCCCAGGCTGGAGTGCAGTGGCCGGATCTCAGCTCACTGCAAGGTCCGCCTTCCAGGTTCACGCCATTCTCCTGCCTCAGCCTCCCGAGTAGCTGGGATTACAGGCGCCCGCCACCTCGCCCAGCTAGTTTTTTGTATTTTTTAGTAGAGACGGGGTTTCACCGTGATAGCCAGGATGGTCTCGATCTCCTGACCTTGTGATCCGCCCGTCTCGGCCTCCCAAAGTGCTGGGATTACAGGCTTGAGCCACCGCGCCAGGCCAAAAGAACTTTTTTGTTGTTGTTGTTCGTTTGTTTTTTGAGATGGAGTTTCGCTCATGTTGCTTAGGCTGGAGTGCAATGGCACGATCTTGGCTCACCGCAACCTCCGCCTCCCAGGTTCAAGCGATTCTCCTGCCTCAGCCTGCCCCAAGTAGCTGGGATAACAGGCATGCACCACTACACCCAGCTAATTTTTTATTTTTAGTAGAGGCGAGGTTTCTCCATGTTGGTCAGGCTGGTCTCAAACTCCCGACATCAAGCGATCTGCCTGCCTGGGCCTCCCAAAGTGCTGGGATTACAGGTGTGAGCCACTGCACATGGCCTTTTTTGTTTTTTGTTTTTTTCTGAGATGGAGTCTTGCTCTGTTGCCCAGGCTGGAGTGCAGTGGTACAATCTCAGCTCACTGCAACCTCTACCTGCCAGGTTCAAGTGATTCTACCACCTCAGCCTTCCCAGTAGGTGGAACTATAGGCACGTGCCACCACGCCTGGCTAATTTTGTATTTTTAGTAGAGATGAGGTTTCGCCATGTTGGCCAGGCTGGTCTCCGAACTCCTGACCTCAGGTGATCCACCCACCTTGGCCTCCCAAAATGCTGGGATTACAGGCATGAGCCACCATGCCCAGCCAAAATAACTCTTTAAAGGTTTGTATTATCCAGATATGAGGTTATCAACTTTCTCAGGAAAGAGATTGAGGGTGTTTACAGGAACAACATGCTCCCAAAATGAAGTTTTAAAGGCTCCTGGATTGTATGGCAGATTTGTAGCTTCGTGTGGCTTCACCCCGGATGTGAAGGTTTGGGAAGTCTGCTTTGGAAAGAAGGGGGAGTTCCAGGAGGTGGTGCGAGCCTTCGAACTCAAGGGCCACTCCGCGGCTGTGCGCTCATTTGCTTTCTCCAACGACTCGCGGAGGTGAGTGAGTCTGCTCACATGTCTGTCTGACCAGTGGCTCTTGGCCCCTCTCGACAACCAGGGTCCTTCTGCCTGTTTGTGCCATGGCTCTGAAGCGGGTGGGGTGCCTGGCCCTCAGCAGGAAGCTGACTTAGCTTCCTAGCTGGAGCTGCTCAAGTTGGGCCAGTACTTACCCTGCCAGGGTGTGTTGGGGCATGAGCTGTGATTTTCTGTGCTGCAGGATGGCTTCTGTCTCCAAGGATGGTACATGGAAACTGTGGGACACAGATGTGGAATACAAGAAGCAGCAGGACCCCTACTTGCTGAGGACAGGCCGCTTTGAAGAGGCGGCGGGCGCTGCACCGTGCCGCCTGGCCCTCTCCCCCGATGCCCAGGTCTTGGCCTTGGCCAGTGGCAGCAGTATTCATCTCTACAATACCCGGCGGGGCGAGAAAGAGGAGTGCTTTGAGCGGGTCCATGGTGAGTGTATCACCGACTTGTCCTTTGACATCACTGGCCGCTTTCTGGCATCCTGTGGGGACCGGGCTGTGCGGCTCTTTCACAACACTCCTGGCCACCGGGCCATTGTGGAGGAGATGCAGGGCCACCTGAAGCGGGCCTCCACCGACAGTACCCGCCAGAGGCTGCAGCAGAAGCTGACCCAGGCCCAAGAGACCCTGAAGAGCCTGGGTGCCCTGAAGAAGTGACTCTGGGAGGGCCCAGCGCAGAGGATTGAGGAGGAGGGATCTGGCCTCCCAGCGCTGCTGCCACCTTTCCTCCCAGGTGGAAGCCTTTCAGAAGCGGTCTCCTGGTTTTCTTACTGGTGGCCTCGCTTCTTCCCATTGAAACTACTCTTGTCTACTTAGATCTCTTCTTGCTGGCTGTGACTCCTCCCCGACTAGTGACCAAGGTGCTTTTCTTCCTCCCAGGCCCAGTGGGTAGAATCTATTCCCACCCAGCGCTGAGGAGAGTGGTAGAGAGAGGAGACAGAGAGAGAACATGATTTTTGGCCTTGTGGCAGCACATCCTCACACCCAAAGAAGTCTGTAAATGTTCCAGAACAACCTAGAGAACACTTGAGTACTAAGCAGCAATTTTGCAAGGATGGGAGACTGGGATAGCTTCCTATCACAGAATTGTGCTCCATCAAAAAGATACTAAGGGATTTCCTTCTGGGCCTCAGTTCTGTTTGTAAGATGGAGAATAATCCTCTCTGTGACCTCCTTGCAAAGATGATGTGAGGCTAAGAGAGTATCAAGTCCCTAGGTGTAGAGGAAAAGTGGAAAAGAGTAGTACTATTGTCCAGTGCCATTAAAGTGGTAAAAGTGGGAACCAGTGTGCTTCGAAACCAAATTAGAAACACATTCCTTGGGAAGGCAAAGTTTTTTGGGACTTGATCATACATTTTGTATGGTTGGGAGTCCTCTCTTCGGGAGATTATATCCTGTTTAAGGAGACCTCTTTTCAGTTCATCAGATATTTGAGTGCCTACTCTGTGCCCGAATAAATACGTGCTGGAGATTAAATATGAATAAGACATGGTTTCTGCCATCAAAGATGGCTGGTGGGAGAGAGAGATACGCCCTTATTAAGTGCTTTGTGTAGTTTATTCATAGCTACTGTTGTATACGTCAAGGAAAGAGGACCAGAGCAGGACAGAGGCAATGGGTATTGAAGTTGAAGGGGTACATTCGATAAGAGATTCAGTATTGAGAAGTTTAAATTTGTGAATTTGAAGGCTGGATGTGGCAGATAAGGGAAATGAGGTATCTGGGAAGACTTGAGTGTAGGCAAAATTTATTCATCCCAAGTCAAACTCTTAGTCTCTCTCATGAAAACTACGACCTCCCCTGGTCGCCCCTGACCTCTCACCTCTCAATGTTGGAATAAGCCATAGTCTTGGAGTTATCCTTGATGACTCGCCACTCATTATCCCCTCTGTCCCACCACCACTGCCGTCGTCCGTCCACCAGAACATCCTTTTGGTTACACTCCAGGTGACATCCTGAGGCTGTTGCTTCTCTCCATCTTTTCTGTTACCATCCTGGTTCTGGCCACTGTCACCTAGTGGGCCACTATAATATGGCTTCCTAATGGATCTTCCTGCTTCCTCTGTTACCTCATTACTTTTCTATATAGCAGAGTGATCTTTTGAAAATGTGAACCAGATCACATTATTCCCTAGTTAAAACCCCCCAAGGCTTCCCATCACACTTGGGATAAAATCCAAAAGAATTTTTTTTCTAAACCAAAAATAGTAAAAACAATTTTTTTTTTTTTTGAGAGTCTCACTGTGTTGCCCATGCTGGAGTACAGTGGCACAGTCTTGGCTCACTACAACTGCTGCCTCCCAGGTTCAAGTGATTCTCCTGCCTCAGCCTCCAGAGTAGCTGGGATTACAGGCATGTGCCACCACACCTGACTAATTTTTGTGCTTTTAGTAGAGACAGGGTTTCATGATGTTGGCCAGGCTGGTCTCGAACTCCTGACTTCAAGTAATCCATCCTCCTTGGCCTCCTCAAGTGCTGGGATTACAGGCGTGAGCCATCGTGCCCAGTCAAAAACACTTTTTTAATCCAAAACTCTTACCATGGCCTGCAAGGTCCTATGTAACCTGGCTTCGTCCCCCATCTAAATGCCATGGACGTCAGATGGGTACTGTAACTCTGTGAATGGGGTCAGTTACCTGGGTGTAGGGCAGTAGAAAGTGGGGACAGAAGTGAGCTGGAGGGCTTGTGTCCTGCCTGCGGGGTGGGGGGTGGCTGCTACTTATCCAGCAGAAATTGTCTGCTTTACAGAAGCTAGAAGTGAGCAATTTAAATAAATAAATGAATAAACAAACACTATCTGGACCAAACAAAACACCAAGGTAGGCCTGATGCAGTCCAGCACTCTTCTTATTGGCAGCTTCTGGCTCACTGTTGAACCCACCGGAATGAGAGCACCACCGGGCAGACTCCTGTAATGTCTCACTGTCAGCTCTGTGGTCCAGGCACAGTACCTGGGACAGTGTAAGCACTCAATCAATGTGAAACTCAAGCCGGGGGCAAGCCACAGACCTCCCAGTATCTTCTCTGTGCATCTTCCCACTCGCAGTCTCCATTGTGGTTTTGTATGTTCCTAACCACAGACTGCTGGCAATGCTGTGCACATAAGGCCTGAGGAGTATTTCCTCGGCAATTGTCGGAAGAATGAGACTAAAATACTTCCTTTGCACACCTGTTCTTTTTTTTTTTTTTTTTTTTTTTTTTTTTTTTTTTTTTTGAGACGGAGTCTCGCTCTGTCGCCCAGGCTGGAGTGCAGTGGCGTGATCTCGGCTCACTGCAAGCTCCGCCTCCCGGGTTCACGCCATTCTCCTGCCTCAGCCTCCCGAGTAGCTGGGACTACAGGCGCCCACAACCGCGCCCGACTAATTTTTTGTATTTTTAGTAGAGACGGGGTTTCACCGTGGTCTCGATCTCCTGACCTTGTGATCCGCCCGCCTCGGCCTCCCAAAGTGCTGGGATTACAGGCGTGAGCCACCGCGCCCGGCCACACACCTGTTCTTGGAAGCAGCTCTGGCATTACTCCCCTTGTGTATGCAGGACAGGAAGTGGCGGTAGAATGTTGTTACTGAAGTCAGATGTCTTAAGTTCCAGTTCCAGCTGGGTCACCTGTTGACTTGAGAGCAGGTAGATCTGTTGAACTCTCTGAGCTTGTTTCCTCATCTGTAAAATGAGAATGAATCCTATGCTGCCCACCTTGCCATGTTGAGTTTCAGTGAGACAAGAGAAAACACTACCAAAAAATCATTCCACAGACTTCTGAGAACAGAAAGTACCCTCACTCAAGCTTCTCTTGTAAACACAGAGAAGGTGTCTGGATATTAACATAGAGCAGAGGCTACCAATTTTTGTTTGTTTTAAATCAAAAATCCTGCATGTGAAGGCAGTATTCATGTCATAATTACAATTTCAACATCTGTGGGTGTGAAATTTTTCAAAATAAAGAGTTGAGGAAATATTTTAAATGGTGGTGTATAGCCTGTTTTGGTGTTCTGTTTGTTTTAGAGATGGAGTCTCACTCCGTCGTCTAGACTGGAGTGCAGTGGTGCCATCATGGCTCACTGCAGCCTCGACCTCCTGGGCTCAAGTGATCCTCTCACCTTAGCCTCCCAAGTAGCTAGGATCACAGGCGTATGCCATCACACCTGTCTGTTTTGTGTAGAGATGGGGGTCTCACTATGTTGCCCAGGCTGGGGCTTGCAGTCATTTAAACCATGCAATACACAGATTAAGATGGTGGTGCCATCTCAACAGTGGCCTGCCGCTTCCCAGGGAGTCTTCCTTCCTCAGTGCAGTCCACCTTCCTTCTGGCTACTTTTCTGGGAATTGGATGCAAGTGGGTCTTCCACCACCTGCATCCAACACTCGGGTGCATCAGGGAAATCAACTCTCTGATTTGCTTAGCTGTGATAACTTGAAGCCCTGGATAGTGTCTTGCATACAGACATGTTTTCACAATTATTGCTACTCCAGTAAAGTCACATTTCAGAGACTTACATCTTGGGAAAGGCACAAAAAGTTTTGTTTCTGTGTTATCTGTGTTTTCTACAATTAATGTGCAATTCCTATGTAATGTTCATTGCCGCACTATTCAGAATAGCAAAGACATGGAATCAACCCAAGTGACCATCAATGATAGACTGGATAAAGAAAATGTGGTACATATATACCACGGAATACTGTGCAGCCAGAAAAAGGAACAAGATCATGTCCTTCGCAGGGACATGGAAAGAGCTGGAGGTCATTAGCCTTAGCAAACCCAAGAACAGAAAACCAAACACCGCATGTTCTCACTTATAAGTGGGAGCTGAACGATGAGAACACATGGACACAGAGAGGGGGCAACACACACTGAGGCCTGTTGGGGGTGCAGGGGGAGGGAGAACATCGGGAATAATAGCTAATGCATGCTGGGCTTAATACTTAAGTGATGGGTTGATAGGTGCAGCAAGCCACCATGGCACACATTTACCTATGTAACAAACCTGCACATCCTGCAGATGTACCCTGGAACTTAAAATTCATTCATTAAATAACAAGTACTGGGAGTGGTAGCTCACACCAGTAATCCTGACACCTTGGGATGCCGAGGCAGGGGAATTACTTGAGGCCAGGAGTTCAAGACCAGCCTGAGCAACATACTCAGACTCGCTGTCTACAAAAAAAAAAAAAAAAAGTTGGGCATGGTGATGGACACTTGTAGTCCCAGCCTCTCCGGAGGCTGCAGTGGGAGGATTGCTTGAGCCCAGGAGTTCAAAGCTGCAGTGAGCTATGATCGCAGCCTGGACAACACAGCGAGACCCTGTCTCTTAGAAAAGATCAGTAACATGATACATTGAAAGCATTAACGATAGCCTCCCGTGACACATACTCTTTCACTTTCACTTCATAGCAGCTCTTGTGAAATAGCAATTATTATCCCCATTGGAAAAACTGAGGTTTGTGGAGGTTAAGTGTCAAGCAGGAATTCAACTCTGGGTCTGAGTACAGAGCTCAAACTGGTTCCTAGTGTGACCCCACAGAGCCTCTGACCTTGCCATCCAGAAAATAAGCTCCTTGAGGGCAGGGAGTTTATAGTGTTAGGAATCTGCCTTGTCCCGGCCGGGCGCGGTGGCTCACGCCTGTAATCCCAGCACTTTGGGAGGCCGAGGCGGGCGGATCACAAGGTCAGGAGATCGAGACCATCCTGGCTAACACTGTGAAACCCCGTCTCTACTAAAAATGCAAAAAATTAGCCGGGCGAGGCGGCGGGCGCCTGTAGTCCCAGCTACTCGGGAGGCTGAGGCAGGAGAATGGCGTGAACCCGGGAGGCGAGCTTGCAGTGAGCCGAGATCGCGCCACTGCACTCCAGCCTGGGCGACTAAGCGAGACTCTGTCTCAAAAAAAAAAAAAAAAAAGGAATCTGCCTTGTCCCTCTTTCTGTTGCACCCATGCAAGTGAGCACACAGTAGCCACTACAATTTTTTGACTAATAAGATGAACCTGTACAGTGATTGCCCAACAGAGAATGCGCTCACTTTGACCACCATTTATGCATCCACCACGCAGTTGCATTGGCAGCAGAAATCATTCTATTACTTTCCAAGGCCACTGCATCTTGTGAGTTTATACACTTCAGTGTGACTCTCCCAGGGACTAATGGTTCCGAAGTGAGGAGATGATCGAAGTTCCAAAACTGGGCTAGGCGGGGTGGCTCATGTTTATAATCCCAGGGCTTTGGGAAGCCAAGGTGAGAGGATCACTTGAGACTAGGAGTTTGAGACCAGCTCGAGTAACTCGGTGAGACCCCATCTCTACAAAAAAAATTTAAAATTAGCTGGGCATGGTATCACACACCTGTAGTCCCAGCTGTTGGGCTACTGGAGAGACTGAGGCAGGAGGATCACTTGAGTCCAGGAGCTGGAGGCTGCAGTGAGCCACAATCATGCCGCTGCACTTCAGCCTGAGCAACAGAGTGAGACTCTACCTCTTGAAAAAATACAAATAAAAGAGTGCCAGATGGGCGTGGTGGCTCACAGCTGTAATCCTAGCACTTTTGGGAGGCTGAGGCAGGAGGGTCACTTGGGTCCAGGAGTTCAAGACCAGCTTGGGAAACACAGGGAGACCCCATCTCTACATAAATACAAAAAAGTTGGGCATATGATGGCACAGCTACTCAGGAGGCTGAGATGGGAGGATTGCTTGAGACTGGGAGGTTGAGGCTGCAGTCATTGGCCCAACTTGGCCTCCCAAAGTGCTGGGATTATAGGCATGAGCCACTGTGCCTAGCCAGCTAGTAGGTTTGACAGCCCAGGTATGTTTCAGTTGCTTTGGCAGCCCAGAGGCAGGAAAAATACCAACCAAACAACAACCCCCAAAATGATAAAGTTGATGATGATGTGGAAGGTGATGATTATGATGGTAATAACTGTGTTGGTCTCTGGCCCTTGAGTCCTTATTTCACCCTAATAATGGCCTCTGCCCTGCATACTTTTAGGCTTTTGTAATCTATAACCTAGGGCATCTCTAGAATAAGAAGCAAAACAAAAAGCAAACAAAAGAACCCCGGGCAAAAGTGAATTTCTTGATGTGCTGCACCCCAAATTTCCTCAACCCCACGTTTCTTCACTGAGCGTGCCAGGACTGTGAGGGACTTGCCCACAGTGGCAAAGAGTGCTGTGTTCCCCAACTCCACTTCTTGGTTTCCTAGGTACAAAGCTGGACTACATGTCCCAGGATTCCCTGCAGTTAGGTGCGACCCTTTGATGACTTCAGGCCAATGGAATGTGTGCAGAAGTGATCCACTGAGTCTCCAGCTGCCTCTAAAAACCCTCCTGAGGGCTGCCTCTAAAAACCTCGGTGGCTCATGCCTGTAATCCCAACACTTTGGGAGGTTGAGGCGGGCAGATCACGTGAGGTCAGGAGTTTGAGACTAGCCTGGCCAACATGGCAAAACCCCATCTCTATAAAAATACGAAAATTAGCTGGGGCTGGGCGTGGTGGCTCAAGCCTGTAATCCTAGCACTTTGGGAGGCCGAGACGGACCGATCACGAGGTCAGGAGATCGAGACCATCCTGGTTAACACAGTGAAACCCCGTCTCTACTAAAAAAATACCAAAAAAACTAGCTGGGCGTGGTGGTGGGTGCCTGTAGTCCCAGCTACTCGGGAGGCTGAGGCAGGAGAATGGCGTAAACCCGGGAGGTGGAGCTTGCAGTGAGCTAGGATCCGGCCACTGCATTCCAGCCTGGGTGACAGAGTGAGACTCCGTCTCAAAAAAAAAAAAAAAGAAAAAAGAAAATTAGCTGGGCATGGAGGCATGTGCCTGTAATCCCAGCTACTTGGGAGGCTGAGGCAAAGTAATCCCTTCAACCCAGAACCTGGGAGGCAGAGATTGCGGTGAGCCAAGATCGTGCCACTGGACTCCAGCCTGGGTGGCAGAGCGAGACTCCATCTCAAAAAGTATATATAATAATAAAACAAACAAACAGACAAACAAAAACCCTCCTGAGGCTCTCCATACTCTCTTTTCTGCCAGCTGGAAACAGGATTCTGTGCAGTTTCTGAGTAATCAAAAGCACTAGATGGCTGGCCTGGAATCCCATTTATGGCTGATTCCTACAATCTCAGCACTTTGTGAGGCTAAGGCAAGAGGATTGCTTGAGGCCAAGAATTCAAGACTAGACTGGGTAACATAGTGAGACCCCCCCCCCCATCGTTACAAAAAAGTTAGCCAGGCATGTTAGCGCACACCTATAATTCCAGCTACTCCGGAGGCTGAGGCAGGAGGCTCACTTGAGCCCAGGAGTTCAAGGCTGCAGTGACCTATGATTCTGCTACTGCACTCCAGCCTGGGCAAGAGAGCAAGACCCCATCTCTTAAACATATATATTTGTATATATGTATATATGTATATATATATGTTTGTATATATGTGTATATATATTTACATATGTATACATATACCATATGCTTTGTTTTTCCACTGTTGTGGACAGATTTCTATGATGTGGTAACAGAATAATGATTCCCCAAAGATATCCACATCCTAATCCTTGGAACCCAGGAATTTGTTGGGTGATACCCCAACAGGGAATTACAGTAGCAGATGGAATTAAGGTTGCTAATCAACTGGCTTTTTTTTTTTTTTTTTTTTGAGACAGAGTCACTCTGTCTCCCAGGCTGGAGTGCAGTGGTGCAATCTCTGCTCACTGCAGCCTCCACCTCCCAGGTTCAAGTGATTATCCTGCCTCAGTCTCCCTAGTAGCTGGAATTACAGGCACATGCCACCACATCCAACTAATTTTTGAATTTTTTAGTAGAGATGGGGTTTCATCATGTTGGCCAGGCTGGTATCGAACTCCTGACCTCAAATGATCCACCCCCGCCTCAGCCTCCCAAAGTGCTGGGATTACAGGTATGGGTCACCACGCCTGGCCAGAAAAATAAAAGAGGATATTTAGTGGTTTTGTTAGGATTCTCTAGAG